AAAACAAGATTCGTAAATACACATCTAATTCGTAAATTCAAAACACGATTTGTAAATACAATAAGCCAATTCGTAAATTGAAAACACGATTCATAAATACAGAAATCCACTTCATAGGTTCAAAACACGATTCATAAATATGCAAATTCAGTTCATAAATTCAAAACACTATTCCTAAATACACAAAGCCAATTATAAATTCAAAACACTATTCATAAATGCACAAATCCAATTCGTAAATTTAAAGCATGTATCATAAATACACAAATCCAATTCGTTAATTCAAAACACGATTAATAAATACACAATTCCACTTCATAGATTCAAAACATGATTCATAAATATGCAAATTCAGTTCATAAATTCAAAACACTTTTTACAAATAAACAAATCTTTTTTAGAAAAAAGATTTTTATCATTATATTTAGGATTTTTACTTGTGAATTCATGAAGACTAAGTTGTATGAATTGTGTGTTGTAAATGTATTACTTTTGAGACTAATCTGGCTCCATATTACGCAAATCTTAGGTTGTATCAATCTTTTTTTTTTTTTTTTTTTTTTTTTGCAGCAGCCTCAAATCTTATCACTATTTAAATATATGTCAAACTCAACCACATGTTGTCAGATCCATATCCGGTTGCTGACATTTTCAGACAGTCTCCTTTTATGCGAGTAAAGTTCAACCTGCAAAAGGACAGCCCAAAAGTTTTATGCATACGGTGACCTTTACGGAACTATGGTTAAACTACGAAGAAGCCCTCATCCAGATCACCACAGATAAAAACCTGTAGGCCAAATGTTCAAATGTTCTGGAAAATCACATGTACGACTGAACAGGGGCTTTGTTTAGATGTCAGTGCTTTGAGGACATTATGGTATATATATATATAATCTGGCAGATAGGTAATACGTGACTATAATGTCGTTCTGCGGGAACAAGAACAAAAAAAGTGCTACATCTTTTGATGTGAATGTTACCCAATCCTTATTTTTAATGCATAAAACATATTCTCACACATAATAAGTCCATTATGGAACTGAACTCAGTATGAACTCATCTGAAATCATGCAGACATTGTTGCGTATAGCTCACTTTGGCTGTCTATTAGGCGCAGGTGTGCCGCTCCGCATGCCAGTTGACACTTTACTCGAGGTGAGAATCCATAGGGCCGTCTTTGTGTTCACCGTGTGTGTGTGTTTGGGCCATTTGGCAAGACCTCAAAGCGCCCGCCGGAGGTGCCCGTGATGCCCACTGTATGCAGAGTCCTGCGCAGTGCAGGCCACGGCCAATCTTTGCTAATCTTCTGTAGAGGTGACACTGGGCTGGCACCTGCTCCTCAGTTCATGTGCCAGGCTTGCGCTGAGAGAAACCACAGGGATGTACTCACAGTGTGAACGAGGTGGGCTACTCATGCCATTACCTGGAGCTGCGAGGAAAAGCTCGCCACCCAAACGGTTCGGAATTCCGGCTCAGGCTGTTCCCTGAATTTTCATGATTAATTATCCGTTTTTTTGTACAAAACATGACATAAGTTTCTACATGTTTGGTAACATAAAATTCCATTCTGTGTCAACTAAAGGGTTTGTTTAATGTACAATTTACATTCTGTGAGGGCTGCACAATATAATTATATAACACATATATATATTAGGGCGAAGCAGTGGCGCAGTAGGTAGTGCTGTCGCCTCACAGCAAGAAGGTCGCTGGGTTGCTGGTTCGAGCCTCGGCTCTGTGTGGAGTTTGCATGTTCTCCCTGCGTTCGCATGGGTTTCCTCCGGGTGCAGTCCATAGACATGCGGTACAGGTGATATGGGTAGGCTAAATTGTCCGTAATGTATGAGTGTGTGTGTGTGTGAATGCGTGTGTGGATGTTTCCCAGAGATGGGTTGTGGCTGTAAGGGCATCCGCTGCGTAAAAACTTGCTGGATGAGTTGGCGGTTCATTCCGCTGTGGCGACACCGGATTAATAAGGGACTAAGCCGACAAGAAAATGAAGTTTCTCTGCAAATCACTGCAGTTAATCTAAAGTATGAATATCTTCCAAATGTAGCCATTTAGTGAAGTTGTATTCATATGTGTTGCAGAAAAACTAACAGGGCCGGCGCGTCCATAGAGGCGACCTAGGCGACCACCTAGAGAGGTAGAATAGAGAGGGCGGCGTCCGCGACACTACCCTCACCAACCCGCGCCCTCAGTTATATCCGCGTCTAGTGTGGTAGAATAGAGAGGGCGGCGTCCACGACACTATCCTCACCATCCGGTTCTCAGTTGTATACGCGTCTAGTGCGGTAGAATAGAGAGGACAGGCGTCCACGACACTATCCTCAACACCCGCGCCCTCAGTTATATCCGCGTCTAGTGCGGTAGAATAGAGAGGGCGGCGTCCACGACACTACCATCACCATCCGCGCCCTCAGTTATATCCGCGTCTAGTGTGGTAGAATAGAGAGGGCGGCGTCCACCACACTACCCTCACCATCCGTGCCCTCAGTTATATTCGTGTCTAGTGCGGTAGAATAGAGAGGGCGGCGTCCACGA